CCCAAAACCCCAAAACCCCCCCCTTAATAAAAGCAACTTTATTTTGGAATTATTAAATTAAAAATTAATCACTCAATTATATTATTGAAATGGAATAAAATCATATTCGCTTATAATAAGATTACATCTCCTCTAGACTTGACTTCATTAATTTGATTTGAACTTCTCATTAGTAAATGAATTATTGCAAGTAGTATTCATATTTATAGATCCTATTGAATTCTCCTCAATTTATTTCTATAATTCATGTTTAATTGATTATCTTACATTATGATGAGTCACAGTCTGAAGTAAATTCCCAAACACCTTTTTAGCTTACTTCTCATTATCTTTGATCTATTTATACTTATGGCAGATGTTTTCATATTTAGCTTAACCTCTTTCTAATTTCTCAATAAGTTTATGGTTATACTTTTGTATTTTATCAATCTCAATTTGATTTTCCTCCTTTATCTTCGAAATATCTCTTTTCAAAGTTACTATTAAATGTGTAAAAATTAATCACTAGACTTACTAAGCTGAGAATTCAAAAGATATATTTTTTCATTTGCTGAGGTGTTGATTTGTTCCAAGTCTAATTTATACTACTACTTTTACTTCAAAATCTGTTCAGATAAATTTTCGACTTCTTCCTAAAGAGCTTTTATTTATGTATCGTAGCTTAATTCTGAATTCTTGTACGTGTTTAGCTACATCTATTATTGCTAGATGGTATCTTCCTATTATGTGCATTTCTGTTACAGCAGAATCATATTTTCCTTAATCTTGCTGAACATTGACACAAAGTCATCGAAGTTTTCAATAGTATTCCAGTTTTCAATCTTGAAGAATTCATCATTAAGCATCTAATTCTTTGATTGATTTTACTTCAGATTATTCATTATCTCTCTCAATTTGTCCTATGATATGAATTGATAAATTAGATGATATAATTACTTTCAATTCATGGCAGGACATTTTATCATCCTTTATTTCTTCTTCCACCTTAGTCTATCTGAAAGAATCAAGCTATTCTTAAACTCTTTTCATTATATTGTTCTTATAGCTTCTCCCAACTACGTCTCTTGTTACTACTCTATTAGATAAATCTCTCTGAATATTTTCCTTCTCATCTTAACTGTCTTGTCTCTAGTGATGAGAGGGGAAATCATTTTTCCTCTTAATTATTTCATCCAGTAAATTATCATCAACTCTTTTCTTGCTGAACTTGTTCTTCAAGTACTTCTAGTACATATCCCTACACTCTTCATCGTTTTTAATTTCCTCTTTTGAATTATGACTCTGCCTAATTGAACGATTCCTATCTGATTATAGATCACTCATATGTAGAGTGCTCATATGCAGAGTATTAAGATTATTCTAATTCAAAACCTAATTATTACTTTACTTCTCTGACTAATAAGAATTTTGAGATATGGTTAAGTCAGGAGTCTTTCTCAATTACTGAGAAAAATCATGCTTTACACCTGAAGAGCCCTACTTTAACTCAATCTCAAAATCTTAAAGACCTGTATCTCCCATTAATTCGAGTGGCACATCATTGAGATTTGAGATCTCTATTATATCATTCCTCATTCCACAAATTTTCCCATTCGACCCAATAAGTCTATCTTCGAATATTGAATCGCCAGTGAATGTATCGTATGATCTCCCGCTTACATATCCTCCCTTGTTATTTCCTCTATCGGTAATGCCTCCAAACTCACTAGAACTTTCGACTTCATTATTCTTGCCTATTTTAATTGGTATCTAGAACATTTTGAATTTGAATTATTAACTGAATAAATAATCACTACATAGAATCTTAAATTCAAGTAAGTTAGTTATGAAATTATGATTAATTAATTTATATCAATCAATCATTTGGCATTCAAAGATACTAATTTGAATAGGGACTCCTTCCTCCAGAGTTGAAAGTTCCAGTGACATTAAATGAAGTAGTTTTGCTATTCTTTAGGACTTTGACTAGATTTCTTCGTTGCTAAGTACTTTGCATTTCTCTCATTTCTTCCTAATCAAAAATGCTCTTTGTCATATTGTAGTTCTTGATCATTAAGTTCATATCTTCTCTTTTCAACTCAATTGTCTCTTTAATGTTGTCTCTGTGCACTTTATCTCTTAACTTATGAACTTATTTTATAGAGTAACCATGATGATGATTTTCTTCCTCTATAATATCACTTTGCTACTGGTTGGTTTAAAGACTATTTCTTTTTTTGCTGTGTCCCTTGTTGATAGAGTTGCCACCCTAAAATAAATATCAAAACAAAACAATACTTGGAACGTAGAAGAGTTAGACTTATACATTGAATTCCTGCTAGACTCATCATTATCAGATTTTTACTTCAAAGGTACAAATTTATTCAGAACTATAATTATTACATCTTTATTAGTACTTACACTTCTCCCTAGAGTTTTAGAATTTAAGTTTAATCTAATTCAATCTTTAGTCCTTATTTCCTAGTTCCATATGGTCTTAGAATACTTCTCTAAATGCGTGATTAGTCTTATTAAAGAAAATCATCTTTCCCCAGTAATCCCTATCATTTTCATTCTTGAAATCTCTCAAGAACTTCATTGTCGATTCATGTGGGCGTAAGTTTTTCGTTTTTTCTGTAATTTCAAACTTTAGAACGTCTCCGAATTTCTCTCTCATCTCATCCAGGTTTGAAGGTGTTTTGACATCCAATAAGGATTGCTTCTTGAAATTAAGTTTTTAAATCAGCGTTTGCTGAAGTTACTTAGCTGACTCTACATCCTTAGACTGTGCTTACTTCTTCTAAAAGGCTTCCTATAATTTCTTTAGTTCTATTTTGTTTTTATAGGACATTGGAGACTTTGCCTTTTCAGATTGTACCTTTTATGTCTTTTGGATGGAGAATTAGGGCTTTAGTGAGGGAGAGCTACTGCTAGAATTGTTATTCATTGGTGGGGCTGATTTTATATGAGCCTAACTTAGCTAAGGTAATTCTTAATTTCTAACTTCCAGTTCTTTAGGTTCCATTTTATCTTCTCGACTATCTTTTATCGGTTCACTGTCATCAGTTGCTAAAGATGATTTTTCTGATTTTTAATCTATTTCAACTATTTCCACTTAACCATCAGTCTCTGAATCGTACTCCTATGACTGGTCATTTATTTTACCAAGTTAAAACATTCTCAAAAATTCTTTCTCTTCTTTTTTCTCTTGATTTTTCTTATTTTTCATAAACAGAAGTGCATGAATATCCTCCCATGTTCCTAGAGCTTTTCGATCAAAGTTACCCTCCTGTAAATCTTTCTTTAATTTAAAGTATTCTTTGAATCCTGAAAATTCTTCTCTAGCTTTACTAAATGGTTGATAAATAGGCTTAGGTCTTTTCTTGATTTCATACATCCCATCACGATTTAAATTGAGCTTACCGACTATCATTGCTTCAAAGCAACCGTCCATACTGAATTTTTAGAAGTCTAGATCAAGTTCTTTCTGTTTATTCATTCTAATAACTCTTGATAACTCTTAGAATACTTGCTCTTAAGGTGTCATTGGCTAGTCAATCACTTATATTGGAATAAAATGAGCATTTTAATCCATAAATGATGTTTTCTAGGTTCCAGAAAAAGTAGATGGTATTAACTATTCTAGCTTTTTTTAAGATGCATTCTTATTTAATTGGACACTTTCAATTTCTTCTGAGTCAGATGTCTCGATTAGCTTGTTTAATTTCACCTATTAATTTTTATTTTTTCTTTAAGGTTATATACCCTCAAATCCTTAAGATTTGCACAAACTTTCAATTCTTTAAATGTCCTATAAGCTAAACAATACTTCAGTCTTAATGAAATCAGATTGGACTTTTTGATAAATTAGCTCTAAGACTTTCAAGTTGGAAAGATTTTAGTTTTCTTGTGCCACATAAAGATTGATTGTGGACTCAAGAACAAGCTTGAGTTTATATTTATATATTAGAGCCACTTCACTCTTCTTGTTTTTACCTTTTCTAATTGTCTGCTTAATAGATTTTACGATAAGGGTAAATTATTTGTCTAAATTAGTTTAGCAATTATTTTTGAGCAATTCATATGATATGTAGTCAAGAAATAGTGAATTTTTAAGCCAGCCATATTGCATTTTAAAGTTAGGAGGAATCTGCTTCTTAATAAGGTTCAAATAGTAGAAAGCGGCTTTCTAATTATCTAGGAATTGGTTATATTTTCCATATCTTTAATAATTTATGGCATGAATATAATACTTACAGTAGGTTAAGTTTAGCTCTAATCAAGTAGATAGTAATTTTTTCCATCTAAAGTTCTATAAGTTTATAATATCCTTTCTCCCCTAGTTGACTGAATCTGAAGCTTATGTGATTTATCATATAGTCTAGAAATTTCTCAGAATTAGTAAAAAGAAACTCAGTAATTTTAAGATGATTTCTCTCCTTGTATTCATTTTCGGTCATATTTTTGAGCATCAATAAGGAACTAAAAGTTGAAGTTAAGTTTAATAACTAATAGAATTCTATAGTCTTGGACTTATGAAACTCTTGCCTAAACAATACTTGGTTTGAAAACATAATGTCTAAAGCATCTATATATTATTCCTAAAAGATTTAAATTGCACATTTGTGGAACTTACATTTTCTAAGCAAATTTTAATATATTTCAAAGTCTTCTTCCTAGAATACTACCTAACGTCTATGGCTTTAGGAACTTGTTTAAATGACTTAACAGATTTCATCTTTCTAAGATTTTTTATATGGCTCTCTACAAATTGAATGTCTTGCTTATCTTAATACGCCTGCTTTGTACTATATTGCTGTGTCAAATCAAAGGGTCTTTTATTCATAGATTGACTATTCGTAGTGCTCATTTTAGTCGTACTTTATGACCTTTGCATCTTAGTTTTAATCTTAAAGTTTTTCTAACTTGCATTTTTTTCAACCTTAATTTTACTAGCAGAAGTAGGCGGTTTATACTAAATGCTTGATTAAGCCAGATATCTATTTTGGAGATCCTTGAGCACATTTGAGACTCCTTAGATAGAAATTATATCATACTAAGTGTCAATAAATACAGGAACTTCGCTGAATTATCTATTCATTGAAACTTATTCTAGCTAGTTCTCAGATGTTTAAGCAAGGGATCTAAGAGACTAGTCTTGTTTTACTACTAAGAAGCTGGCTTGCTATTTTTCCTGCTATTACTGGACTAAATTAGGGTCTAGGAGTTCGATATTTTACTCTTCTTTCATTTAAATTCTTTTTAAATATTTCAATTATTTTACATCTAGCCTAATCTTATAAATTTCTATTTCACGGGGTTTTGGGGTTTTGGGGTTTTGGGGTTTTGGGG